ACATGGAGTAGTTGCCAGCCTTGAGATTGCGCACGAGATAATCTGCAGAGACGAGCCAGGTTTAGTTAACGACTCCGGAGTCGACACATGCATGCCAGCGGCGTATCATCGGCAGGTTAGCTGTCCAGTCTGGCACACCAGAAACTGATTGAACTCTGTTACATTAATTAATAATTAATGACTAGGAGAACGCCCATGCGTTGCTACGGGCTATGCGTCATGTTATTTCCAACACCTGAGTCAAACACAAAACCCATCCCAGGACGCTCCCTTTTGTTTTTTTGTTCGACCCTACCCTTCTCACTCGGTTTCCCGCTGTAGCGGAACATTTCTCGCTGGAGCCACCTCTTCTAAAACCAAATGACGTCCACCTCATCTTCACCGTGCATTGCAACATGAATTAAAATTTTCATATTTGCATTATGTAGAGTTGATTAAACTAACACATACTATTGACATAGAACAACAAATAAAGATCACCCTCAAAGGTCCATTCAACTTTGCAAATGCACATTGACGTTGAAGGCGAGTGACAATCTGAACGTATTCCTAGTTACCAATAAGCACCACCTCTATCCCACATACCATTAATTGCTAGAAGGGGTAATTGTTGTTCTTCTCGTCTTCGTCCTTTCCCACATCTTCTACTCCTAACCATTCCGCCTACCATTTTGTTGGTGCCAGCGAACACCACGTTAACATCAATACGTTCGTCAACGACGCCTTGTCTCCGTCTTTCTCCTTCATCGCCAGTTTTAGTTCTCGTTCCTACTTATTTTCTATAATACTCCTTCCTTTTTTTGTTTTATTTTTTGGAACACTCTTTTCTTCTCCAACACTATGGACCACTTGGTGGCTTTAGTTATTTTGTACTTATTCTCCAAACACTCTTTCTTTCTACTATAGCATAAACCACCCAGCCAATGTTGTGTCGTGTTGTCCTCCCTCATGAACGTTTCAGCAACCGTCAGTGTGTTGACATCCTTCAGAGCATGGTCGTCATCTATCTTGGTGAACACAAGGACGCCCATGTCGTGAGCGCATGGTGGCATTGTTCATGTTGGCAAGTGGTGCTCGGCCATGTCGTTGAAAGCCTGCTCATCGTCCATGCCCACGAGCGCTTTCAAAATAATTCAGCGTGATTAATTGGTTGCATGATTAATTAAGTACATAAATAATTAACGGCCTACCTAATTCTCTACATGCCTAATTAAATGCCAAAAAATCAATTAATTATCCGCCTATTGGAAAAAAAATCCTATCTTTAATTATCTGTAGGCACAATTAATTGTCTACATAATTAATTGCATTAATCGCTCCATTTCCAAATTGATTCGGTGCGAACTTTTTTCCTATTTAAATGTACCTAATTAATTGCATACATAACTAACTGTCTAGTTAATTACTTGCATTAATGGTTTGATTTTCAAATTGATTCAGTGCTCGATTTCCAAAATATTTTGCACGAATGACTTCTACGATCGACGACCACGACTACTGAGTATTGTAGGACACATTTCCTTAACGGATTTCTTGACATTTGAATGACACACTTGATTTGAGAACTTGATTTTAGAATGTAGCATATTTAGCTTGATAAGAATTATAATATGAACGAGTCCATGAACGCCCTGTACGTGGCGATCCGACGACCCGCCTTCCGCCATGGCCGTTCTCGACGCCGTCTGTAATCCATGCTATGGCATTCTCGAACATCGTGTTGACATCAGGCCCAGTGGCGGTGCCCTCCATGGTTTTACGCACGACGTCCCTCCGTAGAGGCGTGTGGATGTGTATGCCCATAAAGAAAAAGATATGTTATTTTTGTTGTATTAGGAAACTTCTGATTATCAATTAATAGTAGAGATAAAATTTTATGGTGAATATCTGATTTTTTTTGTACAATTATCGAGAAATATCTTATGTCTCTTTTTTAGGAAGGTGATCTCACATATATGATGTGATTTTTGAATTCTTAATTACCTATTATTTATGTAATTAAATTAAATCAACACCTGCCAAAGCAAGCATGAAACAAGATTTCTCATTTAATGGGATCTGGGTTTTTAATAGGAGAAAGAAAAAACCCGTGGGAAGGGTGGTGAGTGGTGAGACAAAAAAGACATACGAAAATAAATCGGAGTACCAGGTTACCAACTCCTCCATAAAAAATAAAAAAAACGAGACCAGCCAGGACTAGCCCTTGGCGGCATATTTTGATAGGAGAATTCTCTAAGCGCCCCCTCGGCCGAGCCAGGGCTCGAACCAGGGCGGGCAGCCTGCGAGAGCGCAGGGCTAACCAACTCCTCCATTAGGAGTATAGATTCAGTTGCCATATTTTTTTCCTATGGCACTCATGAATGGACACTTGACACCGGTTCCTCAAAATAAACACCATATCCACCCACACCGTGATGTCCCAGCTGCTCAACCCACTCAACAACGCGACCGCCCCTCTCCCATCCCTACAGCCCCGAGCACGGCACTGTTGATCCACTGACATGGCTCTGGCTCGACCACGGGTTCCTCTTCCCTGCATGGCCCTGGCGGCAGCATGGCCCACCAACATGTATATTTTATTGATAAATAAACTTGAACCAATCTAACTCAAAAACTTGTAGACAGGGACATCAAATCACTTGTTGAATCCGCGACATGTAACGTTTACTGTAGAATCAACCATTTTCTGTAACATGTTAATTCTTTAGTAAAGTGTTCTAGTTTATTAAATTTTCAACATATTATGTAAGGCTTGGAGATCTGAACCCATACTTCCTGCGAAGTATTCACAAATAATTACATATGCAACATACTTCTTTCAAACAAACATATTTCTGTAAATGTCAACAAACAATTCACTAAAAATATAATTGTCAAATGGTGTGTATGTGAAACTAACTGGAAGTCTAATTTTTATGAAAGAAAAAGTATTCCACTCACATACAAATCATCGCCTACAAACTCATCCTTAACTACCTTCCATCTTCTCTTATACTCTTCAACTCTTATCTTCCTGAACTCCATGTTGCAATTCACATATAATCAGCACCGGCACACGCCACCACAACCTCACATCGTGTCGTCGTCACCGAGCTCCCCAACCTGCTCGCCACCTGCCGCTACTCCGCGTCCCTATGAGCCTCGGACTGCTCCCCTCCCTGCACGCCTACCACTGCTCTGCTTCCTCACCTATTATCCGCCTCCCTAAGAGCCTCCGACTGCTCCCCTCACTCCATGCCTGCCGCTGCTCTGCTTCCTCACCCATGATCCCTCTCTCATGCCACAGCAGATGAAGTATATACATGATGGGTTTCAGCTACAAGCACGGAATGTGGATCAATTACAACAATCAATCAGCAAACTTACTTTTGTTTTCAGAGAGGGCGCCTATTTTTTTGTATGAGTTATATCATCAAATCAAACTTTACTGTTTGTCCATTTCTGGTAATTATACCCATCTTTTGTCTGATGTTTTAGAATGCTCACAGTCCAAGTTTTAAAAGTGACCATCAATATATTAAAAAATGTATGGACTTTCCATGTGAAAACTGAATACTATATATAAAAGAGTACGAAGACTATTCACTCAAATTTCCACTGTTGGTCGCATTGTGGTACTTTCCAATAAATTGTTGCTCCGATCCTTTTATTTTATGAACGCGTGCGCATCAATTCTTAACAGAATTACCACTAATAGTTTAAAACTGTATACATTGCGAAAACTAATAACTACTACCTCCGTCTCTATTTACATGGCGCCCTCGGGTTTTGTGTTTGAACATTGACCAATAATAGATGATTCACATGCCCAAAATTCAATGGTATAACTTTTCTGAACTAACCCACGTTTAGTTAGTCAAAAGTTGAACCCCAAAATATGTGGGGGCATGTAAACAAAGGAAAAAGGTGTAGATTTAATGGTGAAAAAAAATCAAGCTCGCAAGAGACTTACTGTTCGCAACCTTCATTGAATCAGGTGAATCTATACTCCAAGCCAAACATAAAATGTTTGCATAGAGTAGTGCCACACCAAATACAGTCATGCGATGGCTAAGAAATCACCTGCACGAACACCAATCTGTTTTGGCAAATTATTGACCATTTCAAATTGTAGAAGGGGGAAACGCATGAAAGACGAACACCATAGATGACAAATAAAACCTGCAATGCTTCCATTGCAGACCCCCAAGCAGCACTTGAAACTAAAATTTGCACATACCGCGGCCCACATGCCAACCAATGATGCTAGTCCCGAACACAAAAGCTCCAGGAAGAAAGGCATTAATTGTAGTATATTCAGAAGTTGTCCAGTGTAGCTGTCAGATTAATGAGACAAGGAATCATGAGTACAACCGAGGTTTCAGAAAAACAGTACAGAAGCACCTTCCTAGGCCTCATGCCTCCAGCTGCAGGTAGTAGTGTGAAAGAGATAGATGACAAGGATGACAAGTGACATCATGCAAGCTAGCCATTTTAGATATTGCTCCATACTTGCATACTAAAAGATCCTTCAACCATGTACCTGAACGGTAGAAGCGATATGACATCAGACATCTGAACGGTAGAAGTGATATCAAAGTGAGCATATAGACATATACTCTGGTACTACAAAAATAAGCTCCTATACAATATATATATATCCATTGGTCAGCTGCTAGATGCGAGCATGTGACATTTTTAGTCAGAGTGATGACATCATACCTTTTTTGTAGAGTGTGTCACATCCCAATTTGAATAAACTATATTCTCGCGATCAGTTGTTGGTAAATTATTCTTGAGAAATGACTTGTTAGGGTATGTGATATTATTCACTATATAAAAAAATGTGACATTTCTCTCATAGCAAACAACTACTTTTTCCAAAAATAATAATCATGTGAGCATAGAATTATGAATGGAATAAGACCCACATCAACATGCAACCATGCATGGAGAAACAACCACCACAATATTCAACCATGCATTGAAAAATGTTCTTCATTCAACTATTCTACTTATAGTCAATAAATATTTTCCTCTACAAAATCAAAGCTAAGTCCAGTAGATTTCATCTCAAAAAAGAACTCCAGTAGGTCTTGCTCCAACTCTATTTGCAAGGCATCTTTCTTCTTCTACAAGGACAAAAACATGATCAAGGCATGCAAGATTGAGTTCATTTATAGAAACAAATATGAGGGCTAGTGTTTGATGATGTACTTTCTGCAGTCCGAGGAAATACTCAATTAACTCTAAGACTGACAACCATCTAATATTTACGCAAATACAATGGTGTGCACTATTATTCAGGCGACCTGATATTCAAGTACTAATCCTAGATGAAAAGTTATGATGTCACTAAATCAGGCACTGAAGTGATGTCGAGTTAGTACATACTATCAGATTGATTTACCCCTGCTAAAATAATTACAGTCTAAGTGGCGGAAAAAGAAACAATAATATATACTTAGCATGTACTACCTCCGTCTGGGTTTATTGGTCCTCATTGTATTTCGTGCCAAATTTTGACCATAGATTAAACTAACAAAATTTTCACGCATGTCAACAAACATTATATTTTCAAAAACTATGTTCAAATACGAATCCAATGAGATAATTTTTCTTGACATGCATTAACATTTTGTTAGTTATATCTTTAGTCAAAATTTGGCACAAAAAACAAAGAGGACCTATAAACCAGGACGGAGGTAGTAGTTGAATTTGCAGCAGCTGCCCCGAAAGAAGAAAACAGAGCAGTTGCATCTATCTCCTGTAAACCACGCTTGTCAATCGAGACACCGTAGCCTCCGACAGAAACACACACAATTGTTCTAACAATTTGTGAGAAGCACAACAAATAATTTAGCCAATGCATAAGGCGGAGCCACTACAAGCAACAATGATCTTGCTCTTATCTCTCTTTCAGAGTCTATTGCAGAAGGCCATCATAGCCTCAACATTGATACACATAACAAATCTAGTCGAGTAGCATCAAGAAAGGAACACGGGCGAGATTGGCAACCCCGTAGTTTCAAGTGCATCAATCTGAAATGCGGACAGAAACACAACGCAACTTGCTATTGCAGTTTCAGGATCGGTCAACATGTATGAAATATGTAAGGAGCAAACGAACTTGTAGGAAGATTAGTAAAACCTGTCACCTGTCCGCACCTTCTTTCTAGTGACGCGGGCAAGCAAGTGACATCAAGGATGCCAGCAAGAGGGAGCAACGAAACACCAGACGTCTCAGCAAAAGTTATTTACGTTCATTCCACTTCGGCATGTGTTATTTCCTTCATTATGTGTGGATAATATGATTATGCAGTACACAGAAAAATTATATGCACACAAATCTATTTGGTATCTGCATAAAAAAGACCAAACTGGTTTCTTGCTTCATGCAGGAAAACCATTTTGATCGTTGCCTCTAAAAGGACAGATAACAAAAGAAACCCAGATTATGCACCAGAGACAAAATATAGTACCTTGGCCTCTTACAGAACATACCATCAAGCATTGAGGAAGCCGTATCACCCGGACCATTTTACGAGACCTCAAGGGCGTCAAGGGAGCCGGCCTGTCCACACGAAGAGCGGACCGAAGGCATCGTTTATGATTCTGTTCAACAAGATCTTTTATGATTCTTCCCCATGTTTTTAATCTCAGTTGCATGGGCCACATCAGTTGCAGTTTTTAATCTAACAGAGAACTCAAGAAAAATTTCATTCAAACCTGCAACATCTGAACTCAGTAACATAGAATTTGAAAATACTATTGCATCTATTGTACATAGGTAGGAGGAACGTGAAGGATCATATGATGCTTACCTTCGAGGTTTCTTGAAGGTTGCCATTGGAAACGTAATCCACAATGATCAACCCATCACCACTATACTCAAGAAGCCTACTAAACCTAACCAAATTTAGGTGCTCAAAGCATCGGGTGTCTCTGTCATTCTGGAACTCATGGCCCATACTCTTCTCATTCATGTTCTGCAACGTAACAGTCACCAAGCTATACAAACTGAAGATAATGCTAATCTATGAACAAACTCAAACCCTGTGACTTTTGTTATTGGCAAAAAGAAAACTATTACCAGGGTTGACTATTTCAGCAAATATTACACAAAATAGTACTCCTGGAAAGTTCTCCCCACAAAATTTTAGTGCAATTGAGTTCAAAATACATAGTCAAATTAAGATCATACGCGCTGACCAGCTATGTTTGAGGAATAGTACATTATGACACGACAAAATTATAAAATATAAATTCATCTAGGATGAAAGGGCACACAAACCATTGGTGAAAAGACATGGAAGCTGTGTCCGCAGTCATTTAAGTTCCAACATGCCAAATTAATGTCACACATTTGACCAGACAACTCACGTGCATGGTCTATTCCTCCACACTGATTCCGATTGCCATCAATTATGATTCTTCTCTACGGTGTATGCCCGTCCAGCACGTGATGCTCGGATTATTTGGGCAGTCGTGGTGGACAAGTCGATTGCTGCATTGGAGGCCCGTCGTGGTGACGTCCAGCTATTGCCCCCGTGGTGATGGGGATAGTACCAAATCTGAAGCAACAAGCAGCCAGGCTTCCAAAAATCCATTGAGGGCAGCTCAATTTGCATGCCAGCCCCAACCGATCCCTCGACCAGAACCCACAACGTACCCCACCACGTGGTCCCTAGCGCACACCGCCGACGTCGAGGGATCCTAAAGCCGAGGCGCGATCTAGCACAGTGGGGGGCTTGCCCCGAGCAGCGACCCGACACGTCCATGGGTGGAGAGCCTGATAGTGACGGCGGTTCCCTCCATCATCACAGCCGTCCGAAGAGGGACATGGCCAGAGCCGACACGATCATCAGTGATGGCGAGGTGGACGAGTCTGGCAGCGGAATAGGATTCAATTAGAGCGCTCACCTCACATGCTCCGGTGCCGCCATGATCGGTTCTTGGTTAAACCCTAGCAGCCCGGATCGCCTCCCAATCGCCGCTAGCATAACACCATGACGTGGTGGACGCTGCCTTGCTCCAGCAAGAATTCAGGATCCTGGACGTGATCCGCGGCGGGTCCTAAACGAGGATGGTCCGATGGAGGGCGGCGGCTTTGATGTGCGGGGCGACGACGAAGGGATGGATCCGCGACGGAGGGATGGAATGGCGGCAGCGAATGGATGAACTGGCGGTGGCGAAGGGGTGGATCTGGGGCGAAGGGATGGTGGGTGACGTCTCACGACCTGCTGTGCGAGTCGTGCGGCGCTCGAGGGCAGGAGGCCTTGCTCGTACGCACGCACGATGCTGTCGTTGTTTCTTTTGCTGGTTTTTTATGGTAGGTTTTTTGCAGTCCGTTTTCTCTACGCATTTTTTTAGTCAGTAGAGATGATTGATGATAAGAAAGGGAAAATCACATCAATATAAGGAAATATCCTATCAATACTTGATTGAAAAATCACATCAATATAAGGAAATATCGCATCAATACTTAATTGACTGCGATTTATTTTTTATATGGTAACTAATCTGATGGGTTTATGTGGGTGGTGAAGCGAAAAGGCAGGTGGGAGGGAGACGAAATAAAACCAGCGAAATAAAATCAACAAAAGTGGTGAGGTGAAATAAAACCAACGAAAAATAACCGGCGGACTATTCACCAACTGCTTCATTAGAAGTAGAGAAATCATGTTCATACACTCATGAAGGGTGCTCGCTAGTCATTTTTTGTCTATTTCTTAATTAGGAATCCGAGGCGTTGACAGCGATCATCTTTTGGGACGGTGCACTATACTTGGCAGGCTACACGATGAGCGATAGTTTGCTTTGTTCACTACCCACCCTGCTTTTTTCTTCCGACCTGTTAGGAAAGGAACGCACGGAGTTGATGGTCAGCACCCTACTTTGTTTCGTTTAGTAATTACATTTCTTTTATCCTGGGGTTGCCCATGGGCACAACATGCCTACTCTTTTTCGTAGCGACACATACGGTAGGAAGCCCGGTCCTACATTCTGTTATTTCGTTTTATTTTTTAAAATCCAAACTGGATTAAAAATGAGACCGGATTTTCAGCACCCGGGTTCCCCTACACCCTCTATGAACAGTAAATTTTAAAAAAAATCAAAAACATCTAAAACTTGGGACAACGTCGTGAGATACATCCGCCTCCTCCTCCTCCTCCTTCAAGAAAGAAAGTTAGGGTTCGTGCCTCTCGCCGGCGCCGGCGAAGGTCCGCCTCGTCTCCGATGGCCCAAGGGCCATGGAGGCACGGTGGATCCTGGCAAGGGCTGGCGGGAGGGCTCCGTTTTTAGCCGTTTTTTGCAATCTTGTTAGGGTTTGTGTCCTACTCAGGAAGGTGAGACGACGGTGGCTCCCTGAAGATGGAATAAAAGTCTCCCCGCCTAGCCCCCGTTCCGGCGGTGCATCTAGCATCGTTGGTGGGCTTGTGGAGGTGTGTCTCCGGCAGATCTATCTTTGGTGGATTTGCTCGGATCTCGTCGTTGTTCGTCTACGTTCGTGTGTCTTCAGTTTGGATCCTTCCGATCTACGTTGCTGTTCTGGGGTGCTGGTCCGATGGGGCCTTAGCACGACGACTTCCTGACTGTCTACTACAACAAGTTGTGCCTGGCTCCGGCGATGGAGGGCAATGACGGCGGCGCGCCTTCGGCTCGCTTCGGTGCTTGTAGTCATTGCTAGGTGGTCTACGAATCTGGATGTAATTTTTATTTCTGGCATTCGTTGTACTGCCATAATTGAAGATGAATAGATTGAAAGTTTTTCCGAAAAAAAACATGATCAAACTTTTGATGATTGTGCAAAACTTTAGCTAAAGATGAATAGATTGAGGAGCCATCAACAAAAAAAAATATCACTGTTCAAAGTTTATGTACATTTTTTAGCAGTGATTTTTTTCTGAGAGTCCCACGAAGGTTATTTGTTGCTGAAACTTTGCAAGAACATCAAATATTTGATCATATTTGATCCCTGGAAGTTTCAGTTTTTTATGAATTTACTGTTCATGAGGGTGTAGGGGCACTTGGGAGGTGTTACACCTTTCTCATTAAAAACTTGTATAGATCTAGTATATAAAGTTGGTGCTTTTAATGTTAGTGTAACCAGGAAAAGAAGGATGATGGAGTTGATGGAGCAGCAACGGTAGATGTGGCGAGGATAGGGAAAGAGAATGAGCATCGCATTGCTGCCATGTGCAAGCAGTTGTTCCAGAGGAAAAACAAAGATATGGCAAGGCTATAGGGAGCGAGTTGAAGTTGGCTGAGCAGCTTGGCCTGCTTTATGTTTCTTTGGTGAGTTGCAGTTTTGCTTTGGTAGACCGGGCATGGTGTCCGGCAGAGTTGGCTGGAGCTGAAAACCACGGGGTAGAGTTCCCCTTGATGAACTGATTTTGGTTCGGGTTGTCTTATCAATTTCGGAAATGAAATATATTGTGTCTTAATTACAAGATTTATCTATTTAATTATGTTCACATAAAATAGATAAACAACCTGGTTTAATGAAAGGGCACATTCTAATCTCCACCATTAATAATGTATTGAAATTTGCAAACGTTTCCTCAAGGGTGTACCGAAGAAAAGCTTACCGAATGCAGCATCTCCGCCTTTACTTCAACGTTGCTAGTTCATTCGGAATTACATTTGCTGACCCAAGTAGCAACATTTTCATGTTTATTCTTTTAAATGAAGAGAAGAAAGTGTTACTTGAGTTGTCGTCAAAATGGAACATTGCCCTATAACTCAAGGAATTTTTTTACTGGAACTGAAGGAAAAAAATTATAGTACAATCAGGGTAATGCAGATATCAATGAGTATATAGGGAAATGAGTGCGCAAAAAAGGGCGTACCGTTGTTCCAGGAATCTTTCCACAATCGTACAATAATGACATCTTTGAGATGGACTTTTTCTACCAACAAAGTAAACATCTCAAATTTTTGGAATATTTTCCAACATGAAGAATCGAAGGATATCTATGGATTGGCCTTTGATATGCACAATGGAATACTTTGCTGGGCCTTCTTCATTTTACCTGCACCAATGGGTGTTGTGGTAGTTGTAGTCGTACCTCTTCAGAATGGGTGCATGAAGGAGTCCTGGATTAGGGGGTACTCGGACAGCCGGACTATATACTTTGGCTGGACTGTTGGACTATAAAGATACAAAATTGAAGACTTCGTCCTGTGTCCGGATGAGACTCTCCTTGGCGTGGAAGGCAATCTTGGTGATTCGGATATGTAGATCTCCTTCTCTGTAACCGACTCTGTGTAACCCTAACCCCCTCTGGTGTCTATATAAACCGGAGGGTTTGGTCCATAGGACAAAAACAATCAGAATCATAGGCTAGCTTCTAGGGTTTAGCCTCTACGATCTCGTGGTAGATCAACTCTTGTAATACTCATATCATCAAGATCAATCAAGCAGGAAGTAGGGTATTACCTCCATCGAGAGGGCCTAAACCTGGGTAAACATCGTGTCCCCAGCCTCCTGTTACCATGAGCCTTAGATGCACAGTTCGTGACCCCCAACCCGAGATCCGCCGGTTTTGACACCGACATTGGTGCTTTCATTGAGAGTTCCACTGTGTCGTGGCGATAAGGCTTGATGGCTCCTTCAATCGTCAGCAACGATGCGATCCAGGGTGAGACTTTTCTCCCCGGACAGTTCTTCGTATTCAGCGGCTTCACACTGCGGGCCAACTCGCTTGGCCATCTGGAGCGGATCTACAGCTACGCCCCTGGCCATCAGGTCAGGTTCGGAAACTTGAACTACACGAACGACATCCGCGGAGACTTGATCTTCGAAGGGTTCGAGCCCGCGTCAGGAGTGCCGAACAGTCACGACGTGCATGACTTAAATCTGCCATCAGATGGTGTTCGGGATATCGCACCTGTGGCTGGCCCGGCCCCTAATCTGGAGAAGTTCGTGCCATCCGAGGACGGGTGGATGGACCCCGCCAAGGAGGCCACATACTTATTGGTG